GAATATATGCGGTACATGCCCTGTTCAGATGAAACACAAGGAGCAATGCCAACCCAATATATGCTATTTTTTTACATCTTCCCCACCTTTCACAGCTCCCACTTAACCCCTTTCGTATTTGTTGACTACAAGTGTATAAGACTACAGCAGCAACACTTTGACATGTCTATGCAATCCCACTATTTCCACTCTCTGAAAATTAAATGAAATAAACCACACAGAGACACAGCATTTTTTCTACATAATTGCCTCTCACTTCTTTATGAAAACAGACTGGTTCGAGATGTGATACATTGTTAAAACACTATAAATCAGTTTCCTTTATTTTGGCTGGAACAAATAATTCTCAAAATTTTCAGCTGCACTTTGCCCAGTCCTTAGCACAGTCTGTATGATGGCCAGTCATCAACAAGATTACCAAGCCTGCACTCTCCCTCACTGTAGTATATTCTACCTATCAGCAATAAACATTATGATTTCATATCTTCTGACCTAGGAACTTCATGACAAAGTACTAAATATCATCTTACTCACAGCTCGCATAAAATTTTAATAAACACATTCCTACATATTTTGTAATTGGCACTATGCATGATTCTGTTCTTCAAGTGTTATGCTTGCATGTCTAGGGGTCTAAATGAAAGCTTGAGAAATTACCTTAATTTTGACAATAAATAATTAGCAAGCACCCACACACATTTATGTATACACACACTTAGATGCGCACATTCTCTCATATTTGGTAAGACCAAATCAAAATACCATAAATTGTCATTATCTTCAGCCAAGCTGTTTTACATACATTGCTTTTCTCTTTTCAAAGAACAGTTAATAATAAATGCCATAGGAGCAAAACCAACTCCCACACAACTTCAGATAAGCAATGTAGCTCTCTGAATTTCTTGTGAAGGTTGAAGGAAAGAGTTCAACAAGGTTTGTGCTCTGACAACTGCAAGAAGGAGGGGAAAGAACAACCTTAGAAATGTTACCTCTGTGTAAATGATGCATTTATCACAGTGTTATATCATGAGGAATTGCTTTTCTGAGTTTTTTATTATGAGTAGAAAATAAGGTCAGAATAACAAACTTGGTAAACACTGACATATGTTTACCTAGAACAGAAATTTTATTCCTTTTTCTTTTAACTAAATAAGAGTGAGGTATTCATTAGATTAATCTACATGCTGCTCCAGCATTCAGCATTATTTCAAGTTTCACATTTCTCTCACCAAAGTAAGCATATTCCTTTCTTCTCATGCTCTCCTACTTTTTATTACGCCAATAAAGCAAATAAACTCTGGTGCTACTTCACTGGCTTTAATCATCTGATCCATTGTGATTTGGGGGGTTAATTTCTATGCTAAGACTTTAGTAATAACAGCTCTAAAGAGAACAGAAGTATTTTCTTGAACTCCACAAACATATGAATCATTAAACAAACATCTCCTCTGAATAAGGCACAACCCAGCAGGGCTGCTATACATCCACACTTCCTTCAATACTAATAGGAGCTGACGGATCATAACATTAGGAATTCAAATGTACGGACAAACACTGCACAGCAGTGAGCAGCCTCTACTGCATGTAAAAAGTGAACATAGTTTATCAAAGCAAAATTCTCTCTTGATCTTCTCTTGGGAGATTCAGGAGAAAATCTTTAATCAGTCTCACCAGTGGTATCTACTTGAGGAAATATGACAAACCAAAACTAAACAGAATGCCTCATATGCCAAATTAAAAGGCAAAAGTGGTAAAAGAAATTGAGGGGGAATAAAAAGAAGTTTTTCATGAGCAGTAAGTTTAAAAAAAAACAAAACAAACAAACAAAAACCCAACACCCTCCCCCCAGAAAACAACAAAAACCCATGAAAAAAAATCTTACATGATTTACATATGCCTATAAAATTGAAAGAGCTATAGAACACCCATCCTAATGCCCCCTCTCTAAGTTTCCTTTATTAGGGTGGAAGGGAAAATGGAAAGAGAAAAAAATCTGAATTCTGTAAGCCAGTGCCAGAAAATCTATTGGGACACAATTTTATTCTACCTCCTCATCCCTCTCATCTTTATCTATGACCCCCAGAAGGCAGGCATTTGAAGACATGCTCAATTAATCCAATTAGCTATATTTACATTTTGACTCAGCCACCTACATCTGCTACTGCATATACCCTAACATCCCCTCCTGAAAAATCCACCTGGTTTCCTTTTAAGTGTTCTAACAGCCAGTAGCTTTTCAGCTGTTGGGCACAGGTGGCTCCCAGCATGTCTTAAATACCATCTCCCAATCACTTTAGTATTGCCTTGCAACACCTTTTGTGAGCAGAATTCAGTACAAGTACTTATAGAACATCTACAAGTCCAAAATCTTTGAAAACAGTAAGAAAGATCCTAACTTTCTTCTGCCTTAAGAGGGAGTTAACAGTACAAAAAAGTCAAGTGCCAACAGTGCTTAGGATTTCAATGAAGTAAGACTGTAAAATCATTTGGGACCATGGCTCATAATATTCACTAAGAAAATGTGCATAGAAAAAGATAACGTGGTGTACTACTTTTGCTACAAATCTCTAAATAATGAAAGTAAGAGGAAAGTATGGCTATTATACATATAATTAGAAAAGCAAGGCAAGTCTCTGGTACCCATGCAGTGGCATAATGAAAAATGACAGGATTCTAAAACCTCAACCTACACACAGATGTGTCTCTTCTAACATAAATCAAGTAAGTTAAACTAGCTGTTTGCTGTATATCAATAGCAAAATTAAACCTTAACTTTTAATTGCTAACATGTAAATGTTACTCTAGTTTAATTATAGCAGTGTAATAAAAATCACAGTGCCTTTTACTCTGGAATGTTTCCAGGTGTTGGCCAAATAAAACTTACTTGTTTTGAAGGTTTTTCTTAAAGCTACATGCCTGTTAGAATTTTTTCTTCTTCCGTCCTCCAACTGCAGATTTAGCAGCTGTAACAACAGTTGGACAGTTTGGCAGCTGTAAAAGACAGATGCCAATTTCTAGAAAATAACTTCTTAGTAAAAGAAAATAGGGTCCCCAGCAAGTTTTCATGGATTCCCCAATTATAAGATTTTACTCTGCAACTTGGCACCAACTTGGAGAGCTGCCTCTTACACTGCGCTTCTGCTCACCAGGCAGACTAGAGATCCTTTCAAAGTTCCCTCTCTCTCAATCAGTTTTGACAGGGAAAAATCCTTTTGCTGTTACAGAAAAAACAATGTTCTGCCATGTTATTTTACTAATTTTTTATGTTGGTTTATGTGCTCTTACTCGTGTCAGCACTTATTAAAAGGAAGACTTTAATATCAGACATTAATAAGAAATACATTTAGTTTGCATCATAGCACCAAGATAAAACTGACCCTAAGTTCTGTATGTCTTATGCACAAAAGATCACATTTGAAATAGAATGAGCTAACTAAAATATGGAAATACAGTATGGGCTTTTTCATATCAAAACCCTATCATGGTAGTGGTTTTAGTCATCAGAAAAGGAGGGGAAACAAAAAATCCCAAACTTGTTCATATGGGTTCTTAGGGGTCCTCTTAGCTTTCTCAAGTCATTTATAATTGGCATATGTTAGAGGAGCCTAAAAATGCCTCTAGAAACGTTACCAAGCTAAATTTATTAGGATAAGAACACTTGCAGCTTCTGTTGACTTTAATTGCATTTGAGGGCATTAAGTTGCTCACGAAATTCAACACACTTATTTCAGTATCTAACTATAGGCTGTGTACCAGCCCAGAAGAGTTGCTAATTCAAAACACTGCTTATGGTGCCCAAAGTTAAAACAGAATGATAAAAGGAATCAAACACTGTTTATTTCATATGCTGTCTTTATCTTCCTCCTCTTTATCTCCACAATTCATGGAGAGTTTTACAAAATGGTTCAGCCTGCAAAATAGCAGAGGAGCATGCAATGAAACCTCCTTCTGGAAGAAAATAACACTAAGAACATTATCAAACAAAATCAACAGACCTTCATGGAAGCAAAACAGGGAGAGATGTCAGGAAATGCAAGGGAGAAATAAAGTTCTTAAAAAACACCTAACCAACAAATTGAAGTACATTTGAAGTACCATGTACTGTTTTGCTACAGGGACTAACACACACTGCAAATAAGTGTAGCAGTGACAGAAAAATATATGAAAAAAAGTCAGGAGAGATTTTATGTCTTGAACATAACAATGCCAGCTTTCAGTTCCAAAAATGGTCTAAGAATTTCAACGCAGAAACAGGCTATTAACAAATGATTGCAGAATACAAGGAATTACTTAAACATGTTTTACCATAGGTACAATAATCGTTTGTGACGGTATGAAAATGTAATACCCTGGAACTCCACTCAGAGCATCGTCCTCTTACTGCAAAAATGCTGGCAGGGCACACGTTCTACTTCATGACACATACAGTAATGATCTGTTACAAGCAGTAATTGTTCCTGCACATATATAAAAGCATATTGTGTTGTATCCCCAGGAAGACGGCGTGCGCTAGAAAGGGCAACACCTACAGCTGAACACTGTGAGTCTTAATAGAAGCTGTAAGAAAGAGGATGGAGAAATTAACACTTACCACCTGCACATTACCAATACAAAAATGAGTTCCCTGTGACTGAAGAAGTATTCACAAATGCTAAATTCTCACCATATGCACTCAAATGCAATCATCTCCAAACTTTTTGATCCCGCACCCTTAGCAGTAAAAAAATTTTGAGTGTGCACCCCAATTTATTTATTTGTTTGTTTGCTTATAAATTATATACATATATGACTGAAGTTCTAATATTTTCTTCCTGCACCCCAATGGTTCATCTCACACACCCTACTTTGGAGACCATTGCTCTAATGAACAGAACAAAAGCCAGCAAAACAAGCACCTGCCCCAGGTATTTGCTATGAATATTCACGCCAAAATTCTAAGGGGCTCTGGGCTGGCTACTATAGCCAAGCTTTTGCTAATGGAGATGAAAAGTCAATCTTACCAGAGGCGGTGGTGGAGGGGGCCCTCCAGAAGGTGGTGGAGGCGGTGGAGGAGGAGGTGGTGGCGGTGGCACAGGCATCCGTTAAGATTTCTAGCTTCACGCAGTTATGAAAAATATAGCCAAAGTCTATGTCCTTGAAGGAAAGGAAGGGAAGAGAGAGAGAAGAGTGTGAAAAATAAAAAGAAAAAAAAGAAGAAGAGGAACGTGTTTATACACTGTAAACTGAAGATCAGCCAGATTTCTAGCTCTCAGCAGACTGAAGACTTTTATACTGCACTGCTTCCAAAACTACAGTATGAACAGCCTCATTATAGTTATCTGACGACAACATTCATCTAAAGAGCAAGCTCACAGATCTGGACAAGTGCCATGAGTACCAAATGCATAGATGCCCTCCCATCCAGATTTAACTATTACGCCTTGCCTTAATCTAGCCCATAGCCCTGAAATGCAATTCTGCAGAGAACAAATCACAGTCAACCACACATAGACACTCCTGCTGGGACAAAAACTCTGTTGACTTTAAGCCAGAGTAAGCTAAGGACAAAGTAAGGAACTTTGTAAGGTTCACTGGACTTGCTCCAATGTTAAAAGGAAAGAAAAAAAAAAAGAAAAAAGAAAAAAAAAGATTGAATAATAAATGAAGATATAATCCTATTATAAATTAAAGCTTCTCTTACCAAATGACAGCATATAAGGACCAGATATTTCAAGTATTAATGTGTTTTTCCTGCCATTTTTAAATGTTAACTTTTCACAATTCTTTAGTAACACTCTGATGAGAAAGACTTATACCTTCCAACAAAAGCTATATACTTTTTTTTTTTAATTCTCTGCAGAATGACAGTGCATCACTTACCAATTTTCATCTTTAACTCAGACCCTGGCATGTCTGCCTCCCCTCTCAATCTGAAGTAATCACATTGTTTACTGTAAAGTTAACAAGCAACCCCTATATTTCATCAGTAAAACTGCAAATGAAAGTACTAGGCAGTGCCAAAGAGAGACCTCTGCAAGCCATACTTGATAACTTCTTTTATTTTGATAGTGACCCTCGGATAAATGCTCCAGATGAGGCTTTACATCTAGTTTTATGTCCATCATGTCATGGCTGTCTACTGAGACCCTTCACAACATCATGTGAAACAGTGTCAAAAGCCCTATAATAACACAAAATATGACATTCACTATTTCTGTCCTTTCTGTAAGGCTTTATCTCAGCAGGAAATTACATTGATTTGACACATTTGCTCTTTATACATCTCTGTAGATGATAATTTGTTTTCCTGTCTCCTCCAAGCATTTAGAATCATTATACTCATTTTGATGTTTTCCTAGAAACTGATGTTAAGTTGAAAGGACCACAATTCCCAAGCCCTATTTCTCTCACACCTCCCTTCTTTTTAAAAAACAGGCACTCCATACTTTTCCAGCTCTCTGAAATCTTTTGCTCAAGTATTTGAAGTATCACCTGTGTAAGCAGGAGGCATGAGACAGTTAAATCTGGAGAACTTCAGGAGGGAAAACAAGACAGAAATGAGGCAAGTTAAAGCCTTCAGGGGAATACTTAGCTGTTTTGTTAGGGATAGATTAGAAGAGGCAACAAAGTTAAAATGTATGTGCAGCCTTGTCCACTTCCTACCTAGTGTACATGAGCAATATTCAAGTAATATCTGAGTATCTTCATTCTGCTGTATCTTGTAAAATATTTTATGGGAGATTGATCAAAAATTAAACATACAGAGCCTCTGCAACACTTGTTTTCTCCCTTGGAAGATTGCTATAATATGTACAGGACTAGCATATCAAAGCATTGGATCTTCATCAGAAATTATTACAATTACTTTAATAATGGCTTAATGAAGCTTTCCAAGAAAGCCAGCATCACAGCATCTCCACCATTCCACCCTCATTGTTGCCCTATGCAAAAAGCTATTATCAGAAGATATCTTTTTTCCTCAATTAAGTAATTCAAAAACACGGACATAAGGAGAATGAGTCTTCCCTGCTAATAATATGTTTCGGGTTAGTATCTTCCTACCCTGCAATACAGGCCTTTTGTCTTCATTAAGGATTTAGATTGGGAAATATGTTCTTAGTCAAATTAGAAAAAAATACAACCCACGCTTCTGTGGCAGACCATGTGCACGGCAGCAGGAGGTAAAGCACACTGGAGGCGAGCAGCAGTGGGAGAAAGGAAATGGGAACTAGCTCTTGGTATTCAGAAGTCACAGTCTGAAATGCAATTACTTTCCTAGCTGCATCTCTCACCAGTCCCTGCACCCGCTCCTCCAAGTGATGCAGCCTAAGTTCCAGAACCAGAAACTGTGTGGCCATCTACAAATCAAAATTCAGTGCGGAGGAAGTGTTCACCATGTACCCCACTCCCCTATCCTGAATCCTCTTGTCTGGTGACAGAGAAGAGTGCATCTCAGGGGGCTATAACCCACAGCCCTCGAATGAAATACCAGAGATAGCCCTATAGCTTTTGTCTCAGGCTGTTTCAAACCCTCTACAGATGAACCATCTTTCAGAAGATTCTGTCTATGTGCCTTTCTTTGTCTCATCACAAATTCAGAGGCTCGATGTCCTGACCTTAGTGTGCTTTTGTGCACAGAGACAAATTCATGTTTTTTTCATACCAGTACTATTACAGTGTGAAGGTGATCACATCTAATCCCTACACAGTGAAGAACCATTTTCCACATAGGGGCTCTATTTGTTTAAGCGGACTTTGGAAGAAGTGCTGTCATTCATGCAAGCAGACAATGACAGCAAAGAAGGACTGTATGTAGATAAAGGTAGGCATCTTCAAACTTATAATAAAAGAAATTGGCTCTTAAAATGTAGCTATAACTGCACAATCTACATATTTTAATATGTAGAACTGGCTATGAGAACTTCTTTTGTATTACTGCACCTATCTCACTTACGTGGTTTGTATTTAAAGAAAAATATGGAGAAGACTGCAACACTGTCAGTATATCAACACGTTATTTGGAGGCCTCTATTCCTTGGTTAAAGGCTGTATTTCACTTGTCTCTTCCCCCTCACCCCCCTTAAGTTGCTAGTTAAAACATGGCAATTTCAGACAATAGCTTCAGAATGTGCCAGGCTTATGTATTTGCACATGACAAGCTAAATAAATTCTGAATTAAAACCAAAAAAGGATTATCACGTTGATCAGTTCTAGTGCCCATTAAGAGACAGACAAGAGGGAAATGCCACAAAGAATCCTTAAGGCACACGTGTCCTTTCTCCTCTCCTCTAAATATACATATTTATAACTGAAGAGAGGAGTCTGAACTAACCCCGAGGGACAGAAATAAAAACATACTGTTGAAAAAGTTGGCAATAGGTGAAGGGGAGAAGCCTGTGTGTTTAGCCTGTTTTCTCAGGCAAAAAGCAATGTAAATCTTCCCTTGACTTCCAACTCAGCCCAACAATTGCAGAGTTTATTGCAAAAAACAAAAAGGAAAAACCCAACCCCTGCCTTTTCTAGTCCACCTCCCTACCAAAGCAAGGTTGTACCTTTTTTTTTTTTAGGGCTTTCTGAAGTCTAATTTTAGGTGTCCCAAATAATGTGGCTTGTATTATTTCCCTTGGGAAGCTCTTTCACAGTCAAATAACTGTCATTGCTCAGATTGCCTGACACTCAGCCTAATTTCTCCTTTTCTTAGTTGATCCCATTTGCACTCCACTGCAGATCACTCTACCTTGTACCAAGCAGAAGTTTCTCTTACTCCCTGGCATCAGTTTTGTGAAATAGAAGAATTACAAATCAGAAATACATTTACAAGGAATAGTTATGCTTTTTGAGCTGTTTTACTTCTCACAAGTCATCCCATCAGTCAGTGAAAGTTATTATTGCTCTCTGAGCTCAAAATAATTGGTCTTTTTTTTGTTCTCTTGGTAAGGGTAATTCTAAAACTGGTAATTTCAGGTGTCACAGATTGTTCCTTACTTCTCACACTGCTTGCTTGAATAGTAGCTGAGTTTAAGAACCACAGTGAAGTTATCAATACAGAATTCAAGCTCCAAATTTCTTGAAGGCCCAAATAGTCTTCACCCAGACTTTCATTTTGAAGTGTCAGACAAGACAGTCGGTGCAGATCCTTCTTCTTCATGGACTGCTCTCAGTCCTGTGCTGAACTCATCTGTGGGAAACTCGATACTTCTGCCTAAGCTTTTATGTAGATTTGGTCTCACCTTGCCCAGCTAACAGATGTACACAAACTCTGATCCAAGTGCTTCCCAAAGGTCTCCTTCTAAAGTGTCACTGCCACAGTGCTGGGCTCACACCAAGACAAAGTCCTGCAGGGAGCACAGAGCCACACTAAGAAACAATGCGGGTTTTGGACAGCAGCTGACATGTCTCCTGCCACACTGACACTCAGCAGAACCACCACAGGTCTGTCTGCAAAGACTAATGCTAAAATGCCTTCACGCATCGTGGAAAGGGAAGGCATGAAACAACTGCACCTTCAATTTAGAACAATATCTAGAAGGGGAAAAGACAGAGGAAGAAGTCACAATTACTTAAATGCACATAATACGCATTTATACACAAAAATATTTCTTAACTAGTAGCTTTTTTTTTTTTTTTTAAATGGCTATAGTTCTTAGGTCTTTACGTGGTATAGTCATTAATACAAAACAACATGGTTAGAATTGAAAATGCAAACCTTTTAATCAATTTGGAGAAATGACTGCAAAATAACTGATACATTACCACTGGATTTGCAATTACTACAACTGCGTGCTCTGAAGTAGGTAATTCAGCTTTGGGAAACAGATATTTTTGCTTCAAAGTAAAGGCTGGGGTAGACATTTCAAAGGTGTGCAGGAAAGCTTATATAAAATACTGGTCTTGTTTTCTTGGTTAAAAACTGAAGAAAAAAAAGTAGACCACAAATTCAATTTTTAAATTTTAATCAGCTTTCATATAATCGAATATGATTTCCCCATTAACTATACTGTTCTGAGTTACAGCTTTTAAATCCTTGTATTTTAACAAAAAGCTAAAAGAATTTCAAAATTACACAGGAAAACCAAGCATCTGCTCACCTTTCAATATCTGAAAAGTAGACAATGAGCCTAATTGTGCCCCCATTTGCTCCTGTCAAACATCAC